AGTCGGGGTGGCGCCGGCGGCGCCGGCCACTGGGGGGCGTTTCATCTCCCCCCCCCGCCCGTGTCTTGCTGCTCGACGGAGGCGTTTCTCCTCGGCAACGTCGTGGCGATGGGAACAAAGATCTCGGTGGAAGGCGGCGGCGGGGGTGGGGGAGGGGGCGGAATCGATGCCGGCGGACCGATGACGGCCTCGGCAGCGCGACGAGGGCAGCGGGAGTTCATGCGGGCGGTGACCAGCTTGCTGGAGCTTGGGGTGAGACGATAAACAGGGGTTGGGGGGGGGGGGTACTCATGGTCGTGCATGCCGTAGTCGTTCGACCATTGACCTCGCATCCCTACAAAGCCGGGACGGAGCACGCCGGGTTCTCACGAAGTGATCGGCTAGTTTTACAACATCGCTGCCAAGCGACGAAAACCCAACCCCGATGGCAAACACATGGTCGTGCATGCCGTAGTCGTTCGACCATTGACCTCGCATCCCTACAAAGCCGGGACGGAGCACGCCGGGTTCTCACGAAGTGATCGGCTAGTTTTACAACATCGCTGCCAAGCGACGAAAACCCAACCCCGATGGCAAACACCGGGGGCGGCGTAGGGGGGTGTACTCAAGCAGTGCATGCCGTAGTCGTTAGACCATTGATCTCGCATCCCTTCAAGGTCGGCATGGGGCACGCTGGTTTTTCACCGAACCAGGCTAGCACATCACCAAGCGCGAAGCGCCGTGAAGTATTTGGCGAGTTGCATGCAGGGGGGGGGGCGACGCGCGACTTTTGGCTCCGGTGTGTCTAACTAAGGTGGTTTGTCTCTGCTGCCTGTGCGTGGTGCTGTCAATTGTTTTCAGGGATTTTTGTGCCCGACTTGAAGGAGGCCAAGCTTTTGGCCCATGGCCCCTTGTTGGTCTGGGGTTGATTCCGCCGCACGCTGGACTGCTCCACACAAACATACCTCCTTCTTCTTCGTCGTGACGTGACGTTTTTTTGCCCCAATTTGAGGCCAAGACCCCCAACTCTTGTCAACCAAGCGCCTTTCCCCCCTTCGCGATCGTGTCGGCAGGGCTTCACTCCACCGTTGCCGTGATGTGCTGCCTCTTCAGCCACCTTCTGGTAGTCCTCGACGATGCCGAGCTCTACGAGAAGGGGCAGCCCCTACCGCTCCACCACGTGCGGACTCTCGTCAAGGGCCTCAAACGCCCCCTCTTCGCGTTCTGCTGGGAGCAGGCAAGAGAGAGAGAGAGAGAAATAAGTGATGGAAGTTGCAAGGTCTTGGTGATGTGTGGTCGAGGGCTAGAGTACAGCACAGTGAACCTTTGCTCTCTTGGCGCTCTCTGCTCGGAGTACGGGGGAAAAAGTCCGGGTCTCCGCCGGTTGTACGTGGATGGGCTGCAGGATCGAGGCTGGTCTTTCGGTGGTTGGTGTAAGGGTATCCATCTGTCCCGCTTCTCCGTCTCGTGTTCCTGTGATTCGTGTGTCTGTCAAGTGGGTCCTCAGGAGAGTGCAAAGAGTGTTCGAGTTGCAGGCAACTCATCCATCGACGCAAGAAGCGGGAGTCGTGTTGCTTTTGTCCTTGGTTCGCAGAGTGTTTTTGCGCAGATCTTCTCCTCCTCCTGCTGCTGTCTCCGAGAAGGGAGCTACAATAGCTGCTCTTGCGTGTGCTTTGGTGCGCTTTCCGTCGTGCGATAAACTTGTTTTTTCATCTGATGCCCATCCGATTGCCGCCGCATCATTGTCTTTCGAAGCACTTCCCAAATCAAATCATATCATTTCATGCATTCGCGGCCAGCTCCCTCGTGCGCCAGTTTGTCCGGTGCTCGCAATCATCCCTGAAGGCGCCTTGGTCTGTTCTACCCAACCGCAGGAACAAAAGGAGAGCTCGGTGCACCACTCCACCGGCCACTTCGGCACGTTTTTCGCTGCGGCGGCAGAGAGGCTCCTTAGGGGGCTGTATGTCAGGAGCTCCAGAAGAGCCTTGTGTCCGTCGGAAGCTTGGGTCGTCCCTCAGGTAGGTTTCGCGTTCCCTCTCGCTGCCCGGCACACGTGTGTGAAGCACCTCATTTTTTTTGTCACGAAGATTGGTACAAGTATTGTGTGCCCCGTCGTTTGTGGTGGTGGTGGTGGGTATGTTTGTGACGTGTTGTTTTTACGCCGGAGTAGGTGTTGTGGATTTGAGTGCGGTCGGGTGATGGAAGTTCTCAAAAGATATGCCCTCGAAGCCGTCTGCATTAGGTCGTTCCCTGGGGTGCGCTTTTAAGCTTCTGTGAAGACCAAGGCGACTCCCTACAGTGATGAGGGGACGGTCTGGTCTGTGTGGCGGCCTTTGTTGTTTGGTGCGATGTTGTCGGTCGATCGGATCAGTTTCTGTGGGTCCTTAATCGGGGCCGCTGTTGGTGGGAGCCCTTTCGGGAGAAGCGGAGTGTCGCCAGAGACCTGGGAGCCGCGTTCATTCGAGGCGCCTGTCGACGAGAAGCCGGTGTCCAATACAAGCAGAGGCTCCTCTGAGGCGGGCGGTATCTGTGTCTGTCGGTTGATGGCATGTTGGTCCCGTGCTTGGTTGTCGTTGTGTGTATTGTTTAGTCTTGGTGTTTTTCGGTGGTCCGGGGTTGGTTTTCTTTGTGGCGGTGTTGGCGGGATGCCACGCCGGCGCAGAGCCCCGGAGACACGCAAGACCCCGTTGACGGGTTCTGGTGCCTTCGGTACTGCTTTGTAGCCTACTGCGGTACCCTCAAGGCCTTACTATTAATATTATAGCCGCTCCGCGCTTGTCGTGTGTGTGCGCGCACCGGCATGCTTTACTCGGTCACCATGTGTTGCAGCCAGCATGCTTATTTCCTTTCTTTCAACACGAAGGACACCCTGGTTGTAAGCACAAGCACCGGGTCACTCATACAACCCACGCCCCACCTACGGTTAGTTTGTTGGGTCCTAAATCGATTGCGGCGGCAGCGTTGTCTTGGCTCAAGCTCTCTCGTCTTCCCTTCTCGCTCTCTGTCCGCGCGGGGAATTGTTGCTTTTGTTTCCTTTCGTTCGTGTTTTACCTCCGTGCGTGCGAATGCGTCGGTTGACGCCGGGAACAACCAAACGCATCTCGCTGATCGATCGATCGATGAAGGCTGAGTCCAACCGGGTGCTTGCCGAGGTTAAGACGCAAAGTACACGGTCCCGCAGGCTGCTGCACGCCATGCCGTACTGCATGTCGCTGACGCAGCGCATGAGGGTGTTCGAGCACCTGGTCAAGGCGGACAAGCAAAGGCATCAGCCAGAGAACACCCCTGGGGTTCCAATTCGAGTCAGAAGGTGCGTGCGTGGTTGTGGAAGAGAAAGGCCGTTGGGCGGTCGCGCTATGGGTGGGTGGGGGGGGAGTTGTAGTCCGTGTGTTTGCAAGAGCTTCGATACCGTACCGGTCAATTTTATTTGGGTGTTGGTTGTACCCGAGAATGGGCACTCGTCCCCCCGCTCCCTCTTCAGATTGGACACTTTTTACTTCAATCCGTCGTGGTACCTGTGCAACAGAACAACCTTATCGCTTGTGCAAACCTAGCTCGTAATCCGGGGTCCTTCACCCCCCCCGTTATACGATGTTTGCCATCGGGGTTGGGTTTTCGTCGCTTGGCAACGACGTTGGAAAACTAGCCGATCACCTCGTGAGCTCGGCAACCAGGTTACCGCTTTCGTTTTTTTGCCTTTGTTTTTTCTTTGCGGTAACCATGAATGGTGGTGGAGTAGATTGTGTTGTGCTGGGTCGAAAACCCTCTCCGCGCAAAGGGGATGATCGCACCACGTTGTGTAACATTGGTCAAGCACCCTCGAGGCAGTTACACAATGCTTCTAACTGTCTCTGGAAGTGAAAGCACCAGAAAATAAATCAAGTCATCGCAGCTGTCATCCGTATGCAAGGAAGTAGGCACAAGATGCAGATCACCCTTAGCAGGATGCATCGCGCCCTCCATGTGACTCGCCGAATGCCCCATGGCGCTTCGCGCTGGGTGATGCGCTAGCCTGGCCCGGTGAGAACCCGGCGTGCTCCGTCCGGGCTTTGTAGGGATGCGAGGTCAATGGTCTACCGAGTACGACTATGAGTGCACCCACCCACCCCCGTGCACTCGCGCTACTTCAGAGGCCATGTGTTGGAGGATGGGCTGGCCGCTCTCGGGTCCGGAGGGCGAGCAGAAGGGCAGACGAAGAGGAGGCTAATCGTGATGTACACGGGCGCGGCGGGGCACGAGGAGAGCGGGATCGACATGGGGGGGCTGTTCAAGGACTTCTGGACGGACCTGTCAGCGCTCGCCTTCGACATCAACTACGGCTTGTTTAGGTGCTGAGTTGGTTGTACATTGTCGTCTGTTGTTGCTGCTATTTGTTGTACTTGATGGCTGCACTCGACGCTCACACGTGGCATGTCCGTGATATCTGCACGTCCTCGGCCTCGCTCCACTCCACACTACACTCGCCACCCGCCCGATGCCGGCCAACCTGGCTTCTGCCACCTCATCGGTCCTCCCAGGGTTACCAAGGAGGGTCTCATGTACCCCAACCCTAGCTCGGGCATGGTACACGGATCCGAGCACCTGCGGTTGTTCCAGTTCCTCGGGCGCATTCTTGGCAAGGCTCTGTACGAGGGAATCACGGTGAGGGTTGGTTGGCCGGCTGTGTACGCACGACGGCCGGTGGCGGAGGAGTATCTGTGGATCTCCGCCCCCGTGGCCGCCACCACTCCCACCCTGCTGTGCTTCGCTACCTGCTGTCTTTCTGTCTGTCTTGTGTTTAGTTTTGTTGTTATTTTCTGCGATTGTTGCGGCGGGAAGGATTTGTCGTGTAGGTTTACTCTAGTCAAACTTGTCCAGAACGCATCAGCAAGGCTCGCCGTCAACAATACCGTTCGTTAAGCCTTAGTTCCAGGCAGATATCGCAACGTCGTGCACGCTCGTCGTTTTTGTTTGTTTGTACAGCGCAACAACTCTTGCTTTCTGGCTACTTCGCGCTGACAATAGTTGCATCAAAGTCGCCGACGAGTGCTGTGTTCAGGGACGTTAGTAAAAACGATAGTCCTTCCACCAACGAACTGCAAGACTGTATTGTATTACAAGGTTCTCCTTCAGGAGTTAGGTGGCTTGCCTCCCGGGGGCGACGCAAGAGGGCATGGGACATGGACCGATGTCATCGCGGTCGCAGCGTTGCATCTCAACGTCATGACGTTCGGTAGTGCCGATTTTGCGTTCAACCTGCAGAATATTCTTGGAATTTGCATCGTGTGCGGGATTTTTTTTGCTCGCCGTGACTTTCGCGTGTGCGTGAGTGTGTGCTTTAAGGTTAGTGGCGTCGTTGCTGCAGGTCCTACTGCTGTAATCCGCTGCGTTTGACCACTCGGTCTTTATGTATTCGTGTTGCCTATGGTCTATGGGACTTTGTGTACGTTGCGCAGGAATCAAAAGTCTTCCTTTGTGTGCAAAGCAATTTTTCGTTTTTCTTGCGAAGGCTGAACGTCCCCGGGGTATAGAGGCCAGTCTGTTTCACTTTGGGCGCCAGGCACACCCGCCACGGGTGGCTGGCGGTCCTCGGGCGTGCGCAGTATTGTAACGACGATCTCCTTGCATGCCCCTGAGAGCGAAGCGTAAGAAAAGACTCGCTTCCGCCAGCTGAACATGTCCCAAAGCCCGAAAACACGCGAAATGGTACTTATACATAACAGTACAAGCGAAGGTGTTGCGATCACAGCTCGCACGTCAGCGTTCGCCGCTCCTCCCGCCACACACCAAAGAAGGCCTGGGGCGAACGAACACAACAGCAACCAACCAAATGACCGGTCCCCAACACTGTCCAAAGCACACACGACCGAACCCGACGTCAAAAAACGAAAAATGACCGCGGGGGCGGGCGGCAATCTCCTCGCGCTGCAGGTTCAGCCGGAGTTCGCGACGTTTTTCCTGGGGTTCATCCGAGGGGACTACAACTTCCTGCACCTCTTCCACGACCTCCACGGCCTGGACCCGGAGCTGTACCGCAACCTCATGTTCCTCAAGACGTACGACGGCGGGGACGTGGAAGACCTCTGCCTCACCTTCACCGTGGCGGACGAGGAGTTCGGCGCCAACAAGGAGGCGAGTTGGTTCGTTTTTTGCGAAAGGGAGGGAGAGGGGGAGAGAGAGAGAGAGACAGAGACAGAGACAGAGACTTCATGTCGGCCAGGGGGGGGGTGGCGGGAGACAGGGGGCGGGTGTCGACCTTTCTCGTTTCTACTTTTTACGTGCTTGCGCTAAGCTGTCGTTGTCGTTGTCTACTTCTGGTGCTGGTTATGGTTCTGTTGGTGCTGCCCTTGTGTGTTGGCTGCTAGCTTTCTGCTTCTGCTCCGTACCACGTTTTCGTGCGTTGAATGTTTGGTTTGTAACCGACGTGTGCCTGTTTGCTCCTTCTCGATCACTCTGTCCCTGTTTCCCGTTGCCGCAGGTTGATCTCATTCCGGGCGGATCTCGCAGAGCTGTGACCTCAGCAAACAGGCTGGAGTATGTTAACCGTGTCGCGAAACACCACCTCGTCGACGGCGTCAAGGTGACCCCCCCCCCCCCCCCCCATGTTTTATTTCTCTAGCATTTTGCTTTTTGTGCCCCGTTCTCGGAAGGTTAATTGCCATGGTTTTCACCCGTTGTTCTCTTGGCTTTGCTTTTGGCTGTATTCGCGCCTCGTGTTTTTAATTGTCGATGAATCGGCTTCTTCATCTTCGGGCGGCGGTAACTAGCGGCGTTACTGATGTGCTGTTGCTTTCTGTTTTGCTCGTGATCTGGTGTGAGACGCCACTGCAAAGAACTCTCGAGCAGTGTTTTCCGGCTTCCTGTATCCTCTTGCTGCAGCTAAAACGGGAAAAACGAAACGTTGTCATGTTATTCCTTGTCCCTCTATCTCTATCTCTCTCGATGTTACAGAAGTTGCTCCGGTAGAAGTAGGAAGCGTGCTTTGCCTCGAAGAAGCGCGTTGTGGGTGACATGGCTAGCAACATCTGTTGTTTTTGTTTTCTGGTAGCACCAACCGCTCATCGTTGCCTTCGTTCGCAAAGCCTTCTGTCCCGCAAAACTAAGAAACACCCCCCGTCCTTTGTTCGTTGTTCTTAGCCGCAAGCGGAGGCGTTTGTTCGAGGTCTGTGGGAGGTGATCAACCCGCAGTGGCTGCAGATGTTCAGTGAGCCCGAGCTGCAAGTCTTGATTTCCGGGTCGAACAAGACGGTGGACGTGGAGGATCTCAAGCGACACACGAGGCAAGACCCTCTTTGTTGTGTCAGACTCCTCCCTGTGGTGTCAAAACGTGGCGCACAGGCCCATACCACGAGCGTTCGTTCTGATCGGGGCACGTTTTTGTTTTCGTCGCCCGTCCCATTCTACACTGTGTATCCATCGTTCGCAATGTCTGTCTACCTACGCGACCCCAAGCCCTTGCCTCTCTGGCTGAAGAGAACTCAGATCCGGGACAACCTAACAGAGAGGAAATCATCTTCGGTGGTGTGGTACAATATTGGTTGACCCGCAAACAGCTTCTTTTCTCGTGGCGGTCACACCTCGTTGCTAGAGAAGTGTAGGAGGGAGTTGTAGTGCCATTCGTCAGCACTCACCGCTGTGAACGGCCACAGCTGAATAGACCCACCACAGTCACCCTCGGATAGGGAGAAGCCGGCGAGAATGTCGTTCTTGCCTGCATGTTGGGAGTCAGCTTCAGTGCGGTCACGCACGCACTCCGGTGTTGAATACGGTTATTTAGTGCGATGGTATGTCCATTATCTCGCACGCGGATCCCTCTCAACCCGAACACCTGAGCCTGTCTGTATCAAATTTGGTGCAGTTTTGGTCTCATGATTGTGTCGTTGCATATGTTACAGCATGTGTGCGTTGGTGAGCGGTGCATCAGCCCTTCGGACCACTAGCGCTTCTTCGCGGTCGTCGCGAGTAACGGCACCCACCATGTTGTGCGCTTACACGCTTGCCTTACGCCGATGATGTTGTGTGCTGCACGCTTGTCTTGGTATTCTTATGAAGTGTGGTTTCGTCAAGAGGGTAGCAGGACAACCCTATACCTACCGTTGTTTGCAGCTTCCAACGAAAGGCAGAACATTTCCCGAACACCGTTCCCTAACTTCTCAGTGCTTCCCACAACCTCCCCCCGATCCTTCCCGTCCTGCTGCGCATCATCTCACCGTGGTCAACCCACAACCACCCCCCGCCCTTTCGTTTATCGGAACGTGAAACGAACGACGTAGGTACTCCGGAGGGTTCGTCGGCATGGACCGCACCGTGAAGCGGTTCTGGTCCGTCGTGAGCGCCATGAGCGCCAAGGAGAAGGCGGCGCTGCTGAGGTTCGTCACCAGCTGCGAGCGGCCGCCGCCCCTGGGGTTCGAGTCGATGCAGCCGCCGTTCTGCGTGCACCGCGTGGGGATACGGTCGGACGGGGAGAGGCTGCCGACGGCGAGCACGTGCTTCAACACGCTCAAGCTGCCGACCTACTCGAGCGAGAAGGTGCGCGCAATTTTTCGTCACGAACTCTTGGTTGTTCTGTTGGTTTGTTTCAGTGGTCAGAGTGCTGTTTTGTGTTCGTTGGGGTGGTGTTTGTATACCCTTTGTTGGGTGTTGGTGTTGTTGCTATTTTTCCCGGGGGTTGGTGTTGTGTGTTTTAGTGGTGGCGCTTGTTGCTCAAGGTTGTCGTGTGGCTGCTGTTCCTCTGCCATTCGCTGTACTGCGACGATGTCCCCAGATCACGCTATTCGTGAACCTTGGCCTTCTCGCCTGCCCCTACCTCACGCTCCGCCTTCTTCCCTTCCGGTTGCACCATTTCCCTTCGGAATCGGACAACAAACGCCCGGTGCGTGGGGTCGGTTCAGGTGCTCAGGGAAAAGCTGTTGACGTCCATTTTCTCCGGCACCGGCTTCGAACTGTCTTAGGCAGCGAAACGGTCGGGATGGCGTTGGGAAGGCCTTGCTCTTTCACGGCGGCGTGGACGGCGCCGATGGAAATGTCGTGCCTAGTGCTCAGGACCATGCAGTTAGGTTTAGGACCATTCAGAGGGTGGCTCTTGGTTGCTGCCGCTGTGTGCTGTGCGGCGCCGTTGGTGCTGTCGCTATACTAGTCACAGCGGTGTGGTCGGAGAGTAGGGTGGTAGATTCATTTTTGTGACGGGAGCATTGGAGAGGTGTGTGTCGTAGCGCGTTTTCTTTCGTTGGTCTGGTGATGTTGTTGGAGAAGAGGCAGCTGTGGATATCTGCTACTCTACTGGCCGGCGCCATCCAGTTTACGATACACATCGGTGGTGTCCTGAACGTACGCATGTGGATATATTGGTGAGTGTTTTCAGGAACTACAAAAATTGTTTCTTCGACTGACTGTAGATCGTGAGCTTGCAAAACCTCCCAGGTAGCCAATGCTTCCTTCACAAGTAGATGGTGACCATAACTGCTGTGGGAGAGAAGCTTTTCTGTATAGCCCCGCGTTGAAGCACGTACGTTCGAAAGGCATCAAGCAAGGCCGTTGGGCAGGTGGAAACAGCGAGCGCAATGAAATAATCCCACGCTGAGATTGAAGCGATATATCTCCAGGCCTGCGTCGATGTTTTCGCGCGCTCCTTTCGCCCGACAGCGTCTGAATATCCTAACACCAACAGCCCCGGTGTTTTCTGATCCGTGGGTAGAAATAACACATCTTTGTTGTTGTTTGCACAAAGCCTACGAGTCGCAGTGAAGGTTCTTCATCCGTCTCAACATCTGACGTCAGAACTGCGTCTGACCTCCTGTATCCATCTCCAACCATCCCTGTCAATACCCTTTTGCGCAACCTCATTGCACTCACTTGCGCTAGTAACGACCCTCGGCTGATGCGAGAAACCCCGGAAATACTGGCATTGTCGAACATGCTGGAGCGGCCGGCGGGACGGTACACGTCCTACGGCGTGACTTGTATCGGTCCCGTCGCCGCAATAACCCTAGCAGCGGCGAGGTACTCAGAAGAGGCCATTAAGGTCGCGTCAATGGCCTTCCTCGGTCTGATCGTGTTCGCCAACCTGACCATCTTCAAGTGCGGAAAGTGTCTTGTGCGGACAATCAACAGCTCTTTACAGAACGCCACGGAACGTAGCAGAAGGAGTTGTACCAGCCCATCGGACAGAGTGGGGCGAACGAACCTCCTGGCAGCGAGGAGGAAGATCAAGATTGCCTTGTATTTTTGTTTTGTCCTGGCCGTGCAGACCATCGTTTTGCTCATGGTCGCCGTTTGCACGACGTACGGCACGAGCGCACCACTGCTTCTGTTTGGCGTTCCACACGGGTACGCACCCTTCGTGTGGTTCGCCTTCAACATCCAGCTGCACGCCGGGAGGAGTAACCGCAGGGGGGCCCAAGGGTCGGCTACTTGTGCTATGGGCCCGGAACAAGGAGCTTCAGGGTTCATCAGTAGAGTAGCGTCTATGGTCAAAAGCGCCACCAGCTCGCACTATTATTCCAGAAGGGCTGCCAATTCGAATTCTAGTCAGCAATATGCCAATTCGCATTCTAGTCAGCAATCCATCATTCCGGTTGAGGCCTTCACCTATGGTCCGCAATCCATCGTTCCGGTTGAGACCTGTTGAGACCTTCACCCTAACGAATTTAAACTCTTTCCGCTCATGTCGAGCTTTCACATGGACAACGTTGTTGCTACTACGTCGATCGAACTCCGCTGCTCTGCTGTAGTTGTGAAGACCAAGAGTCAACAACTTTGTTTCAACCATGCATGGTAAAAGCACGTCAGTGGAAGTGTGCCCTCCTCCGACATGGGGCGCTTGGTGATGTTTTTATTCACCACGGTAGGACAAACACACAGACATGTGTTTGATCCATGTGCTGTTATAGTATGGTTTTGTTGATGAGGCCGTCGGGGTGTGGGATAACCGTTTGGATGCTATGGATACATTCCGGATCGTTTCAGCAGCAGCGTGAGCTCGGCCTTGGCACACGCCGTAGGTAGGCAGAAGCAAGGGGGGGTGGACGAAAGATGGGTACAATGGCCACAATGAATTATCGGGGGGCAGCGGTAGGTTGCTCGGCTTGGTTGGCCAAATAGATTGGTGGTATGGTGGTGTGCCGGGTATGTTTTACGGTTAGGACGCAGAAATGGTGTAAGTGTGATCGATCGGAATCCTGTCGGTCTTCCATTGTTTCATCCTTGAGAGAGTAGGAGAGGGTGTAAGGATTGTATTGTGCTTGGTGCTCGAGCGGTGGGTGTGTTCCCGGTCAATCTCAGGCCACCCCGTATGCTGTCACAGGTCGGTGTCTCGGAGTTACAAACGTCGCTAATGCGGATTCAAACATGAAGTTGGGAGGTTTACCGGTAGGTCTCCTAGGTGCGCAGGTAAAGGACATCAACTGCGATCCTACCGAAAATTATATTTCAAGGCTACTAGAGATAACGTTTTTGCTCCGAGGGTATGTTGAATCCATTCGGAAAGAAACCGCAACCCCGTGTGATGGGGAATACCACCCGTTACCGGCACCCTGGTAGGATTGAAAAGTGTTCCGGGGCTCTTTGGCGAAATAAGACCCCGGGGGCGTAACCAACCGACTAGAGGGAAGAAATTTGTCGTCGAAAGACGTTGGAGAGATGTGGGGCATCTGCCCCTGTCCTGTTATTAACGGTCATCTCCCCACCTAAGCTTGCTTCTGTTCGCTACCTGGTAGACAAGAGGAAGGCGATCAGGAGTGACGTACTCCGACCGGCTGGCGGCGAATCGATTCGTTCCTTCGCGATCTTCTGAGTTTATCTCAACGGGGAGTTTGTCTGTCGTTTCGTCCGTTTAAGGAAGATGATGGAGGCAAATAATCCCAGAAGGATCTACTTGTATGAGTCAATGAAGAAATTCGAAGAGAGAACAACGTTGAGGCACGTTACTACTGTGTGGGACTCCACACTTCGATCTTGTTATGTATTCAGATCCATTGTTCTTGCCGCCGCGATTCTCTTGATTCACAGATGTGAATGGGCACACAACGACATCATGATTGTCTAATGCCGGGAACGATCCGGGAACCACGGTTTCGTCTCGGGTAGGCAATGCTGATATTCCTCTAAAAAACAAACTATTCATGATGACGGTATCGTCCATTATTGACGAAAGACCCGATGGCAGTCATCGTGTCTTCCCGAGTGCGGCTCATGTTTCTTTCTATTCTCAGTGGCTACCATGTTGAGAGTTGCCATTGAACGACACAAAGTACGTCGCCGCCGCTAACTGGCCCGGCATCAAGGCAAAAACCGCTCTCATCCTCTCCCTCTCATTCATTCCTGTCAAACTGGTGCGTTGCGTAAACAGGCGGTATCTATCAGGTAGCTCATTTGGGGGCAGGTAGATCCATCTCTCGGATCCGACGAACCGCTTCTTCGATGGTGTCACGCCGCTTGCAGATGGCGAAACGTAACAGGGGACGGTCCGGGTCTATCCCCGTACTGTCGGGGAAGTAGAAAATTACGCCGGGAACCACACCCACCTGTGTGTAAACCGACACGACACACACGGCGAATTTCGTTCGCAGGGCATCACCAAAACAATATTGCAGACAGTCACGGTGGCAATGGTGGTGGTAGCAGTGGGGGATAATCGTTGTGTTTGAGTGCGCTCCATAGCCTATAAATTGCTCATGCAGGGGTGCCTCCAATCGGAGGTCCGCTTTCCTTTGATCCTTTAAACGAATTGGAACTTGGTGTGTGACGGTGTGACGAAACTTTGCCTTGTATTCTCGTTTGAGATGACGCTGACCGCAAAGAGGGACTGGGGCGCAACTTCCCCAGAGCGCTACTGAGAAGAACCTGATTGTAAAATTGTGTTTCAGAGAGTCGCAGTTCCCGCGAAACGTGCGCTTCCGTTGAGGGTCCCTGTACTATACAGTACAATCCAACGACGGAAGCCCGAGTTGGGGCGCACCATCAAGAAAAGTCACAGAAAAGTCACAGAAACAACGAACACCCGCGCGTTTTTACAAGCGTAAATATCTGCTCCGTCGCCTCGGGTGAGCGATAACGCTCGCTACGCTCAAGTACCCGGTGCCCTATGCACGTATCGAAAGGCAGCAGCATACATGACACACACGTTCTTACACAACAACACACCTACTATCTGGGCTTGTGAGGCTGAGGGAGAGGGGGGGGGGTGCGAGCCTCTCGCCGCGTTCCATGAACGATAACCTTCGTTACGCTAAGGCGCCCGCTGCACTATGCCCGAATCTGAAGGTAGGCAGCATACATGGTGACACACACACGTTTCCTACACGACAGTATAGTTGGGCCTGTGTGGCCGAGGAGGGGGGGGGCGGCGGGCGTGGGTACGAGACTCTCAACAATGCCCTAATGTATCTGCGTACAACTCCCACATCCGCGCCGGAGCTGGAAGATCGACAAAAAAGGTTTGCTGGCGCGTGTATGCATAGAAAAAAGTACTACTTGAGTGCAGAGAGTGTCGTCAGTTGACACACACACATGCACTGACAAATTACCGCAGTGTGCCCACACACAGGTACCCTCGAGCTGTATAAAGCAAGGCCGGCACTCTATGTGCAAATCAGATGCAGGTAGGACTGCTGTATCGCAATGTGGTAGCTTGTGGGAGGCTGACTGCCTCTCCGGTCAAGAGATGCAGTGGAAAGAGAAAAAAAAACTTGAAAACCCCAAAAAATTGAGGTTGCTGTCACGCATGTTGGTGCTTATCGTTTCGTCGCCTACAAGGGTGAAGAGGCCAATGTCAAGGGATGCGCACGTAGCCCTTTCGATGCTCGTTTTCGGGAGCTTCTTTCTTTGGTAATTTGGTAATTGACGGCCAAATGATGCCAAAAGGCCCGTTGCAGCGTTTCGCGAAAGAGCTGTGCAGAAGGGGCAACAACCAGCGAGCGGTGGAAAGGGCAAAACAAAACAAACAACGATGCGGGTGATGCAGGTTGGCGCATATCGTTTGGTCGCCTACAAGGGTGAAGAGGCCAATGTGAAGGGATGCGCACGAAGCCCTCTCGATGCTCGTTTTCGGGAGCTACTTACTTTGCCAACTGACAACGAAATGATGCCGAAAGGCCAGTCGCAGCGTTTTGGGGACGAGTTGTGCACATGGGGCAGGAAGCAACCCAGCGCCTGCCGCTGAAGGGGGCGCCTGACGGGATATTTCCACCCCCGTGCTCCATGCGTTGCGGTTTGCGTCTCCCCCTAGCATAAACTGTTCTGGTACGTCGCCATCCGATGAGGGACATGCACCAAAGACATGGACACCGAACACAGTGTAGTTCTAGCTCCACATCGATGTAAGATTTGTGTCGAGGGGATTAGCATGTGTTGAGCAATTGCGGTCTGATCAAGTCGGAGTGTTGCTGGCGGACGAGGTCGGCCGCTGGGAGGAAAAATGTGCTGTCGCAGGTGGCGTGCACATCGAATGGCTTTGAAACTTGGCACAGAATTGTGTCGACTGGTTCATCGTTCACTCTCAAAAAGTTTCGCGGACATCGGTGAGCAGGCTGGGGAGTTGTTGTTCATGCGGAAAACATACGGTTTGGGCGGCGGAATAGCGGTAGGATTTGGCCAAACGCTGGTTGTAGGCGCGCTCGCTCTGGTGGCCCCCAGCGTTGCGGAGACTTGCGGGGCATCCCTGTTCTGTCCTAGCGCATCGAGCCGCGGCTAGCATGGGGCCATCTTGCTCGGTTGTGGAGAACGTGGTCGGAAAAAAAAATCGTGGATTTGGTTTCCAGGCGCGCGGCGCCTGTGACGTCAGGAAGTGGTTTTTGGTGTACACTAAAAAGGCGTCAAGAGGATGCTAGTGGGGGCAAAATGCTTGCGTTTGGCACCGGTGTCCGCCTCGATTGAAATTCCAAGAAACTATTTCGAGGTATAGTAAGGCGAAGGTACCGCCGCGATCTCGTGCTCGTAGCCTTCGCGAGCTGAAAGAAATCGGCCGCGGTCAACAATCTCCGGCCAAGATTAGGTTTGTTTTTTTCCTTCAGTTTCCGCACAGTTTCCGAAGCAGAAACTAATCCTATTCGGGTTCGAACTGCTGTGCTCAAAGGTGATCAAAGCCGCACGCCACGAGGCCCCTGGCGTTCCACCCTTCTTGCCTACAAGAGCACCTACGACTTGAAGCCATCGATTCGGGCTCACCTTAGCATGCGTGAGTAGGAACTTTGCGCACTCCAAGCCTTTGAACCCGAGCGGTGTTGTATCCGCGACCAGGAAATGGCCACCCTGCATAAGGCAGGGTCGCACAGGCAAGCAAGACCGATTTGGAGGTGCGCTCGTTGTGTTCAAGTTTCGTGCCGCGGTGGGATGGGTGGTTCCAGACGCTTTAGAGGTTGATTCGCGAAGCATCTGCCCAGGGGAGTGAACGGAGCATATCCTGCTGGGTACGAGTTCCGCACAACACACTCACCTTTGCACCCCATGACAACACCATTTAGTGGTGATCCTCGACTTCCAACTGGATTTTTACTATGCTCTCGAGGAAGACCGCTGCACAGTGGCTGCTGTGCGGTGCAACACTTGCCCATGGAAGATGCCGTGAAAACCGTAAGGAACACGATGCGAGCGGAAACATCTTGAGGCAGCAGCACGCACGCACGCTCATCATTTAGAGAGGCTGCTCTGTTTGTTGACGCCGTTAAACAGTTGCAGGGCTTCGTTTCCTTGCCTGAGGCCGAGTCACCAAGAACCCCTTTTCCGTCAGAGCGTTGCCGAGAAGCTCCGCGTTGCCTTCGACCAGCTGCGGAATGCCCTGCGCGAACACCGACGACGAAAACGAACCATCGGGGGGAGGGTTGAGACACCTCAAATGTGCGAACACACGAGCAGTACTGCCGTGGCTTCGTTTCCAGGTCAGATGTTGAGCGGCAGCCCAACGCCCACACAGTCAGTCTCACAGAGATATGGCGCGGGACGGAGAGCATACTACATCACATGTAGTGCCGGGAGGTACAGAACGTGTGGAGAGGCCTGATCTCCCACGTCTCCTATGCTAGTTGTACATACATGTGTCGCCTTTGACTCCTCGGGAGACAAGTTCATCATCACCCCCCCCGGTGGTGCGCTTGCCAGAAAACAAGAACTTGCCTCGAAAGAGCCGTCCTCCTCTCCCAGCGCGACTGCCAGTCCGTGCTGCAACGGAGACGGCGCACAATACGACGTGTTACAGTGGTACACGGCTAGTCCTCTGAGCAGCTCCGGCGTCGACAGCGCCCAGCCTACCCTCCAACCTGTTCGTCGTGTGTTCACGGTTGATTTGTTCCCGTAGGCACACACGGGGGGGCGGAAGAGTCACTCCGTAAAAATACACAAGATCGACTTCCCGGAATTAGCTCTCAGTGGAATGGATTACTTCGGTGTCTCAAAAGTTATACCCTCTCTTCCACAGGATCGTATCAAATCGAGGTCTCGCGTTACATACCACCCAGGAAGATAAACACTAGGACTGCAGATGAGCAGACCGCACAACAAAATGCTACCACTTGGTCTGGTGCAAGAAACCTTTGCTGCTGTTGCCGTTACAACCGGAATTTTATTTCCGCGACCAAAACAACCTCACGGTTTCGAACAATAAACCACTTCCGCATTTGCCCTCGTAAAACCGGCTTGTAGACCGTGCCGAGAGAGACTTCCACCAAGCAGGCAACGCGCCGTGCATTCGACCACCTACTCCCGAACTACGCCCCACTCGAACGGACAACGCTCCTCCTCCTCCTCTTCCGTCCTCTTTACCGGTGAGCGAGAAGAGCTTGGACGCGGAGCAGAGGGTGACAGTCCTCTCGAACATACCCTGCTCATCTGCAATCCTTAGGTGCCGCGCCTCTCCAAATGTAACGTTCTCGTAGACCTGTTTTGTTTGGTGGGGGGGGGGGGAGGGTTGATGAAAAAGGCCATGCTCGTCTCGTACGGTTGACCAACGACTGTCCGCTCTTGTTCTCGTACAACCAGCACTCAAATAATACACCGAACTGTCTTCGAACAGGCGGTTGAAAATAAATACGTTGATACGTACAATACTTGGTTGGGTTGTGCCTCACCGCGTCATATGCACGGAAACCTGCTATAAACAGTCACAAGCTAGGCACCCTTTGCTTTAGCCTAACGTTCTCGTAGACCCGGCCACCACATCCGAAGCACAAGCATGACAGGCGCCACAAAAACGTAGGGGCGCGATTTCAGCGACTAGCTAGCCCACAAGCGACGCTTCACACTCTCAACACGAGTGCATACCAAGCACCCGGCTCATGCTGGAAAACGGCCATCCACGCCGCCACGTTCGCTGTGCAATAAACTCCGTGCTCTCTACGACAAACGACCCCCAACACACTGTGCACTGACACCCTAGATCGAGCCAGCCAATCCCCTTGCCTCATCGCTGATGACGAAGAGGTTGTACTTGAGTGCCAATCGAGCGAAGCCTTCCAGCTCCTGAGAGGAAAAAAGCAGCGCCATCAACCCGGGGGGGAGGGGGGGGGGTACCACCGGTAGCGCACGGAAACGACAAGGATGTTGGCTAGTCAGGAAGGACTACTACCGATTATGTCACCTGGGCTACTCAGCTTCTCCCCCCGGCACAAGCAGGCACACGGCCGACGACCACCTTTTCGTACCGAACAGCATCGTTTCGGAAGCGCAAGCTAGCCAATGGCACGGAGTCTGACTTGTAAAGCAGCTCGACTGATGTTGCTGTGTTTGTTGTGAACCAAGCTCAACAACAAACCACCACAATTTGGCCAAGTAGGGTTGGCCACCGATAGCACTGAAACAAAACAGAAGACGACATAGAAATGAAGATGACGCATGGGTTTCTACGCTGCCATGTCGAGTGAGGGGTTATAGCCGCCGGGGGCTCTATGCGGAATTTCGATCCACCGTAGGCACCAGGAAAACCATCACCTCCTTGGTGTAGCAGTGCCCGCACGGATTGTGCGGGGTGTTGATGAGCAGCACCTTCGTCTTCGGTGTGATGGCCTTCTCCAACTGGATCGATGAGTCGATATTTTGTCCGTATTTCGACAAGCGCGATCGAGCAAGAGTCGAGCCGGTTAGCAGTAAGGACGGGCGGATCACAGAGGGGCGAGAGGGTAACGGAGCACGCAAACACTAGGAAAGGGGGACGCGACAACTCTGCAGGCCACGTGGTGCGTGGATCGCGAAAGAGAAGCCGAAAGAGAGGCCAACCAGCAAGCGGGAACATAACCTGCGGATGAACCAAGGCTGCCCTTGTTTTTTTTTTGTGCCTTGCGGAACGTTGCGGATTGCGTTCGGGTCGCCCCCTATTCACCCCCGTCACGAACACGAGCCAAGAACTGCCACACAAAAGCACCGGTCGGTCTTCATGTCCACACGGTTCGTCTGTTGGCTCGCATAGACACAACGACAGGCCAGAGAACGCGCACACGACCAATAAGGGATGCTTAGACAACGACAGCAAGGACAAGGAAGGTTACAAGGCAAACGCGACAGGGCAAACCTTGTCCAAGTCCGGCGCGAAGTCGGGGCCGGCGAGTTCCACGAGGACTGGGGTCGCCCCCACCATGCGAGCCGTGCTGAGATACCACGGAAATCCGGGATTAAAAATCAGCACCTGACACAAGGCGAAACATGACGCACGCACCGAAAACACATGAGCACCTGACACAACGCTCTTTCCTCGGAAGTGTTTCTGTCCTCGTGATACGAGCAGCAGCGGTGAGTGTCGGTTTGTGCACGCATGCGGTAGGGTGAGCGTGACAATCGACACGATGCTGCTGTCAAAATGTTTGACAGCGCTGTCAACCACACACGAGATAGCACCACGTATGCATATTCAAACACTATGTCGTACGTTGTACCATGTATCTGTACCAAACAGCCACAAAGCTATCGCCGGCTGATAATGAGTAAATATTGGCGGTTCCATTCTTCACTCGTATATGATGCACGAGATGGAAAATCCGATCCTACTCGGACGCCCCCCCTCTCTGCCCTGTCCACTCGACGTGTCACCATCTTGTAGTCATGGCTCTTGCTGTGGCATCACAACAGCTGTTCCAGTACGACTGAAACAAAGGCGGCCATTTGTACCGCCTCTTCTGCCTATTGGTCCGTGCCGCGGGACCCACAGAAAAGGGCTCTGATTGCGCTCCTCCACCTCACCTCATCCCCGGGCCCAGCCAACGCCTTGAGGCTAATGTACAGACCCTCCGTTGCGCCAACTGTCACCTGCAGGGAACGAGGAGGGCCGCGGGGACGTGCGAGCGATTTTTTCGGGTCGGACACTGTCGTGAGTGCTGTTCCTTGAACCGTCTCATGACGGCCTCCCAAGAACGACTTTCGGAAGAGCGGACGGCCACCGTAAATGGCTTCGAGAGAGCGTCGGGTTGGTACGGTACAGCAGTAGGGCTCCGACCCGAGAAGATATGCATACCACCACAAACCCATGACCCCATGATGTCGTTCAAGGCTATCATCGTCGTTAGCGAAACACCATCATCGTTCGTTGCCACCACCACCATACACTCCAACGGCGAAACGAGTTGTGTGTCCACTTACTCACCAAGACATTTTCTGGCCCGATCGCCCTGTTCGTGGCCCCCTCTTGTAAGCCGTAGCACTTGTTGTAGTAGGTCGAGACCGCGCTCTGCAGGGACTTGAGCCCCGGCGGCAAGCTATATTGGTTCAGGGCCGTCTGGGTCCATTGGTTGGCAAAGCCCACACGGAGAGAAGGATTGCGTGGACCGAACATGTCAAACCCGGCGGGGAATATTGATGTGGATCAGTGGTGTACGAGATTCACAACAATAGGAGGGATGGGGTAATGCAGGAAGGGCAGCGGCGCCAAGCTGGGTTGGTCCTAAGAGTATTAGTTGCCTCCATCACGCACCCCTGTTGGGCGATTTTCCGTGCTCAACACACCAAGGTCGTGTCTACAATGAAGTAGGAAGATTTTATAAGTGCCCAAAACTGATGGCTTACAGTTGGGGTACCTCGTTAACGGCTCTCGAAAGAATTATGGCATGGTTCAATATAATTAGCATCCATCCTCTTCGTTGCGGAGCAATCGGTCGTACGAAAGCGGCACCTGGAAACGGGAAAAACGACTCACGCGGGGGTGCTGCAGTAGACTACACTTATAATCTGTATTGTAGCCTATTTTGTTGCAGGAAGCCTCGGCCTTCGTGTGGGATACGCGGACAGAACTACGCGCAAGCTTGCACGCTGGTAGCCAGGTTTCGTCAATCATGTTTGATGGCGAAGACACCATACACGCCTGTTTGATGGCGAAGACACCATACACGCCTGTTTGACGGCGAAGACACCATACACGCCTGTCGCGTCGCCAGAGGCCAGTCTCGGCGGCACTTTACAGTTGTAAATTCGCCCCGTTCGCGCATGTTTCTCCAATTTGGATCTGCCCATGTTCTGTGTGTGCTGCTGTTGAAGTAAATAAAGGAACGGGGCGAACGCCACAACGACACGGCTCAATCGCGGCCACTCACCTTGCTCGGATCTGTCATCGTTTCGGCCGCAGCCGCTCGAGCCGCCATGGAGCCATCATAGTCTGGGAAGCCCTGGCCGAGGTTAACTACCCCAGGCTGGCGCGCAAGTACTGCGGAACAATCACCACCGGGTGACGACAAAAGAGCAACCACTTCAGGAAAAGGACAGGAGACTCGTGGAAGAAAGGTCAAGATGACCCACCCAATGAGTGATGTACTTTGCACTTGTCGGTCTGCCCGTGGCTCTCCGGTACACATGTACACAAGCCGCTGTACGAGCAGGTGGGGAGTGGGGAGCCTGCGCTGCTGCTGCGCTGAGAGGCTGCTGTTGAAGGCACTCACTCACTCACTCACCTAGAAGCTCGTTCCAAATGCCGCCTGTGGTATTGCACTCGAACTCCGCAAGGGTCAAGTCCGAGAGGGGGGGGGTACCGACAGCATCTGAGGCTCCGCTCATAGTTGCCCTCTCGATCAGCGGACAACTGAGCCAACTGGAGCTGTGAATGGGGACCTGCCTGCTGATTTGTGCGGTGCAATCGCATTGAGAAGGGGCTCCGTCAAATCGTAAATTAAGTGACTCGCTGGGACCACTCTCTCCGTTCCCTGTGGTGCTTCCGGTGCTTCTGTGTGTGCGCTGCTCTCTCTCTCTGCATCTCCTCTGCTCCACCTCTCTGCCCTGTGCGTCATGAAGCTTGGATTGATTGCCTGCATCGCTCTGTCTGCCACCGGTTGCAGCGCCTTCGTTGCCCCCAGGTCTTCTGCTTCCACCGCACTCGCCAGACGCTCTTCTTCTCCGCCCGACGCAAGGTGTGTGTGTGTTGTACACGGTTAATTTATGCGCGTTCGGCCCACCCTTTTGTTGCAGTGTGTGGCGCATGCCGTTGCTAAGAGTACCTGCCTCCTCAGAAGGCATGCAACATCGCAACATCGACGACTCTGCCCATGATATGTCTGGTATACTGGGGCAAATAGGAGAAGGATCCTGTGGATTGGAAAGGTTAATCAAGGTTGTGTACCTTCCATGTGCTCTCGGAATTTGGAACTAAGGCCAACAGCCCACATGTGCATGTTTGGGCTTGGTTGGCACACCATGCAGCAAACCGGGATTTCGACCAGCGAGCGCCGCGCATGGGATCTGCTGTTTTTCACCCGGTCAAAACCAGAATCCAATTCATGTGCCCCTTCCGAACATGAAAGGCATGGTTTTTCCAAACCACCAACTTGTATTAAAGGCTCCAAGGGGCGTTATTGCACATTTTCCCAGCCTTCGGACAACGAGCCGAGATTTTAGACTTTACGCTCCAAGGGTCCCCGAATTCCGTTCCACTCACCACTTGCCCCCCCCCCCCCCGCCCCCGCCCCATTCTTGTGCCGTGCTCTACTGCGCTGCTGGGAGCAGCTGCCGGTTGCCCTCCTCTTCCTCTTCGACTCGGACCCGAGCCGCTCGGTTGGACATGTTCTCTCCCACGGGGAAAAAGGTGCAGCCTCGCAGTGCGAAGAGTTTAGCAGTCCCTCCTCCTCGTATCTACTGCACTGTAGGCAATCAGGACGTTGGATGCCACGGTCGGGACAAAGGTAAACGCATACCGTGGTAAGAGGCGGAGAGATGGCGCCCCCCCCTAGACCGATTTTCAAAGGCTCGGTTGCTCCACAACCAAAAGCACATGTTGGCAGCACCCAGCAATCGTGGTTTTGGAAACATGTCGTCGAGGACTTTCCGTAGACGTGCCGGGCTCTTTTCCGCACCCACTTGGTTGGGGAGAGATGGAGCTTTGAAAGTCGGTCTTGAGATCTCTCCGACTCTTGTGGCAGTTGTTTGAAGATCGCCAAGTCTTACCGCTGCTGTTGCCCACTCACTTCATCAGGTTGGTTGCATAAGTGTTGTTGTTGTTGTTGTTCCGGCTGTTCGGCAACTGCTGTTGGCGTGCTCATGAGGCCGGGCGCGTGGTGCGGGCGAACGACGCGTTCTGAGAGCACGGCCTGGACTTCTTCGTCCCAGAACAGCCAACAACTCTATTCCTCCGCTTGATGATTCATCTTAACTCAATAGTAGGTACGGCAGTCGGTAGCTTAAGGCTGAATCATCTACTACTGTATTGACTATGTATGGGAGTAGATACGGCAACGCTAACGTACAGCTGGCAACGTTGGATGAATGCTATCGTTCAGGTGGGCATCGTGGGCGCTACCGGCGCGGTGGGGGAGGAGATCGTGGGCTGCTTGGAGAAGCGGGGGTTCGCGGTGAGCGAGCTGAAGCTGTTCGCCTCGGCCAGGTCGGCGGGCAAGGTTAAGGAGACCCCCATGGGAGAAGTGACCATCCAGGAGTTCTCTCTGGAGTCGGTGAGTGACGAAAGCGGGTTGGTAGTACTTGACATGCACGTGTAAATGTATCTTTTTAAGAGTTTCGAGAGTTAGTTTTGTTGCGGAGGGAGCCTGGTCGCACAAGTGATGGGGGCGTGATTATCCCAATGAGCGAGGAAGCGGAGACGACACGCGTAATTGTTGTTCATGGTAGGTGTGTGCACAACAGAGGGAAATGGATGAGGTGTCACGGCGCGTTTGCAAGGGTCGATCTACCTACTGTAGATGCCCCCAAGTCCCTTTGGCAACCTGAAAGCCAAGAGAACCCTGCGGCATCTGCGGGTTTTTTCTTATCTTAATCCCTCAACCATGAGGCGGTATCGAGTATCTCGGTTCTCTGCCCCTGTTGGGATACAGCAGTACGGTGCCGTGAAGTTGTCGACTCAACCTTCATCAGTAGGTCTCCCACTTGGCTATTTTTTTTGGTAATATTGCGAGGCACCGGGACGATAGAGACAGGCGCCCGCGAGCGAAAGTCAATGTCGACCTCGCCAAACTGCCGATGTTACTATTAATAGATCGCTCGCTCATCCACCAAAAAGATGACATGGGTGGGCAACGCCTTCTGCTGTGCCTGCGTATGACGGATGGCTTCCTTCCTTTTGACGAAGACTCCTTGTTGTGTGTGCTTACCGGCGCCCAAATTACAAGCAAATTACACCTCGTCTACCCGCGCCCTCTCGCTGCTGCTATTGTCGTTGCTGCTGCTGTCAGGCAAGAGATTGCGACTTCGTCTTCTTGGCGGTGGGGGGAGACTTCGCCAAGGAGTACGCCGAGAAGCTCACGGAGGGGGTGAGGAGAAAATCGACACTTTTCACCGACCTAGATATCACACCTCGATGGCGATCGAAACTTTGGAGCGCACGTGTACATTCGTTGATTGCACAAAGTGCGCGCGCCATGCGCAGGCTTTGCACGCGTGTACAATTATATTGTTGCATTTTTTTTTTCTTCTTACCTTCAAATCAGCGCTCACAGCACTAGTGCCGTTTACTCCAACCCGTGGTCACACAGAAGAGCCCCTCTCTACCCCCCCTCCTGCGGTACTTTGCCTTCGATTTTAATTGCGAGAAGAGTTCAGGACTCTCTTCCCTCTGTGTACACACGAACTAGCGCTATCCACTAGGCCAGGAGCGGGAGCGAGAGAAAAACACACTTTGCAAGAAAAGCTCGCTTGCGCCGGGATTCGAACCCCTGACCTGACCTCTAGAAGGTTTCGAGGATACCAACTAGACCACCGGGGCGACCATGTGTTTACATCTCTTCCGCGTGACGGATGCCCCCCGTCCGGCAGCCCAGCAACGAGCGTTACGTCTGCTGACGCGGTTGGTGTTTTGTCGATGCAATACGTGAGAGTGTCAGGATGTTCCGCGTCGCTTTCCGCCGTTTCGTCACCCCCCCGCCGCTAAATGCGTCCATGTCTGCACGCACGCTCGCTCGCTCGCTCGCTCGGCTACCTCTTTCTCTCTGTCTCTCTGTCTGCCTTTCTCTCTCTCTCTCATATATATATATATATACACTGTCTGTCTGTCTTCCTGTCTCTCTCTATCTCTCGCTCTCTCCCCCTCTCTCCCTCGCTCCCCCCCCCACCGCTCTCTCGGGACAGTCCGGTCCGATCGTGATCGACAACTCGTCGGCGTGGCGGATGGACCCTGACGTGCCGCTCGTGGTCCCCGAGATCAACCTGGAGGCGTGCAAGGGCAAGAAGCTCATCGCCAACCCCAACTGCACCACGGCGATCGCCATCATGGCGCTCTACCCCCTCCACAAGGAGTTCGGCGTGAAGAAGTGCATCGTGTCCACCTACCAGGTACGTAAGACTGCTGTGTGTAGATTTGATTTTGTTTTGGTTTGTGGAGGGTCGCTGGGCTCTTGGAGTGAAAAACACGTCAGCTGTAAGAGCTCGGGAAACTTCACAGCTGGCAGCTGGCAGCCAGCTGTGGCGTGGTCCTGCTGCCTGATTTTTAATTTCGTCTTGCATCACCCCGCTTTGATGGCACTGCTGTGCTCTCATATGAGCCCGCTTCACGGGGATCCCTTGGACACGTCTACCGTTGAAGTTGAAGCTGGTCTGCAGGAGAGGTGGGGGGAGAGAGAATCAGCTACGGGGATACGCTAGGGGTCGGTGTTGGTGCTGACACCGGCGTTGGTCCTCGTGTGCTGATGATGTTGCTTGTTGTCGTCTCTGACCTTGACTTAACACTTCGAACCCCGTGGGACGAATTGTCGCCTCTGCTTGTAATATAACAGGCGGCTTCAGGCGCGGGTGCCCCGGGCATGAACGAGCTCCTGGACGAGACGAAGAAGTACGTGACCACGGGAGAGATGCCCGCCAACAAGATCTTCGCGCACCCGCTGCCCCTCAACGTCATCCCCCACATCGACGTCTTCCAGGTACATGCGATTTTCATTTCGCGGCGCCGCTCCGTGTTTGCTCGGCTACTCTTTTGCACCATTAGTAGCTTTCGGTTGGAGGGACACATGATGCATTTCGGCTATTTACGGACGTCTGTTCATGTAGGCTAGGCCTGTAAGGGTAAGGGTCTGGTGTTGGGAGAATATGCGATATGTATGCATTGGTTGAGACTGCTTGAGCCAAGCTCGCTCCGAAGCCTCTTAGTGCCGCTTCTGGTGGAAGACCTTTCTCATTGCTGTTCCGATGGACCGGCCAATCTTGACGCTTCTCTTCTCTCCATCGTTAACCTTGATCACGATGTATTTTGTCCCCTCAGCATTGTAGTTGTCTCGGCATACTGCTGTGTGTTCATCTACTTCATTCTGATCCTCTCGTTCGTGTGTTGCTGTGCATCCAATACATTTCTTTTTTTATGTATTGTGTTCGTATTTTTTGTGTGAAAAATCCTCACATCCTCAGGAAAACCTCTACACGAAGGAGGAGATGAAGGTCACCTGGGAGACGAGGAAGATTCTCGACGTGCCCGACATGGCCGTCAGGTCAGTCGGTGCCGTAACGCTTATATCCTGACAGGGATCTATCCTTAGACACTTGTTTTGACCCCTTGTCGCAACCGACAGGACTATTAGGACGTTTCTTGCGTGAATGTACAGGGTTAATCAATCATTGATGGAACGACCAACCCTTTTTGTGGTTGAAGAATCGCACATGACACTTCAAAAGAGGCTGACGGATCCCAGCCGGAGGCGCTGCGATACACGTCACCCCCACCCCTGGTACCATCGGACCATTCGTTCTCTACTGCGGTGCCACCCCGTACACGATTAACTTTCGGGCCAAGCGAGCACGACATCGTCTACGTCGTTGGGTCTTGAAGAGTGCTCCTCAAGGGCGGCCTAAAAGTCGTGTGCGGATGCACTCGTCGATGACGACGACTGGAGTGACGAGATGGCGAAGCGGACTTCACGTCTATCGGGAGATGTGGGAGATAGCTGTCGTGCGGCACATATCTCTTACAGCCCTCGTCTGCCTCCGGTTTTGACCCTCCCTCGCTGCGCAAAAGTGCCGATTGATCTTGGGGGTCGGGGAGCTAGACATGCCAGGAAGGAATGAAAAGGGTGCGAGGGTGCGCCCAACTGCCACGGCAGAAGGAAGAGAGTACCGGTACTGTGAAGCTTACGTAACGGGGAAATGTTTAACCGTGAAGGGAAGACATGTCCGTGTTAATACATGCACACCCTTTAGAAGGCGAGGAACATGGGTTTCAATTTGACATGCTGAAGTTTGGCATCTCTGACAGCAGTTTGGTATGAGGTGAGACAAACATTCGCCATACAAGATATCACTATAATTCGGGCACCCGGTAATATCGAAGCTGTGCTAAAAAGAGACGCTGTTAAATGCCTGTATCAGCAATGTCCCCCCCCCCTCACCCTCGTGTCTGATTCAATTCACTCCACCCAGCTGCACGTCCGTGCGCATCCCCACCATGCGGGCGCACTCGGAAGCCGTGACGATCGAGACGGAGAAGCCCATCACCACGGAATCCGCTCGCAAGGTGAGATAGACCAGACCATAGACTAAATAGGCTAGACTTGAGAAATCCATCTCACTGTGCCGCTCCTCTTAGACTGCTGCTGCTAGACAGTCATTTAATTGCGCCGCTCCTTTCTTCATCACTGCTGCTATTATAGACAATGTGTTCAGATATTTTGTGTTTGCCGCGAGTATCAACGTGGACTCACAAACGCATGCTACCTCGGGTGTAATCGATACGAATGCAACTTAACACTGGATGTGCTTTTGATGGCGTGGCACAGAGAAGATTCTGCAGCTCAAGGCTGCATAGCATATGGCACACTTTGCGTGTAGAATTGTCGGCCGCCAATCGGATCTGTTCATGTTGACAATTTTACGTGATGCGGCACAAGTTCTAAAGCCGATCGTTCGCCTGGCCAACGAGATCGACCGCCGCTCACACCGGACCAACCAAAACCTTTCACGCGTTGACCAATCAGGGTTAATCCAGTGCTGTTAAAATCCGAACCCGATCGAAACGGCTGAACCGGGGCAACCAACCGGAGCAGGTGTTAGAAGCGGCCGCCGGCGTTACGCTCGTGGACGACCCCGAGGCTAGCAAGTACCCCATGCCGCTCACTGCAACGGGGAAGTACGACGTCGAGGTGAGAGACTGACAACATGGTCATCACGGTCATCACTACAACGCTTGTGTGTGATTTACGAATAGTGCACTACTGTTGCTCGAACATCATTGAACGAATGCATTCCACGGTGTGGTTTATATCGAGCACGTGGTTTGTGACTGCTGTGAGACGGGGCTTTTTTGTGTGTTGCTGGCAAAGGTTAGAATATATAGCCAAGGCGTTTTCGACCACGACTAGCTGGTGGGTGGTAAGTGTGTGCAGTTACGATCCACGACGGCGCCCAACGGGTGACCTGTTGGAAAATAAGTCGTTCTCAGCGGAACACGTAACAGCGTACGTGACGTGCGTCTCGTTGCCTGTCTTACGCTGGCGATAGTGACGATAGCGGTAGTTCCCTTCCTCCCTCCCTCCCTTCCTCCCTTCCTCCCTTCCTCGTTTTCCGTCGTGGTTTGGCGGCACTTAAATGTAAGACCACGTGTCCGCCCCGAACTTGGTCTTGTTTTTCGGTGTGTCTTTGCGATGTTAGTGGTACAGTACCTCTACAACCCGACGATCGCATGGTCCCTCTGTTGTCCTGAATGACTCCCACTGAGCTGCACCACCCAGCGGGTAGCTATGATGAGTCACCTCCTTCTCTCTCTCCCGGCACGTTCGCTTCCCCCGTCCCCTCCCCCCGCCCCCCCCCTAAGGTTTCCCGAAATAGTTGCTTGAAGTTGGCAAGTCTTGTCGCTGCTGCAGCCCACTCACGTGTTCAAGTCAGTTCCAATATAACGTGTCGTTGTTGTTGCTGCTGCTTGACATCTAACTGCTGTTGGCTGTTGGCGTGCTTGCTTACGACTAAGGTGGGGCGCGTGCGCGCGAACGACGTATTCGGCGAGCACGGCCTGGACTTCTTCGTGTGCGGGGACCAGCTGCTGCGAGGAGCGGCGCTCAACGCGGTCCTCATCGCAGAGGGCCTCGTTGCCAGCGGCGTCGAAGCCGACGCGGTCGCTGCTTGATCAAATTGACGTATTCAAGAGTAGTTAAAAAAAATGGAATGAATGTATTGGGTCCTTTTCATGACCTGGGCCGGCTGCGCGTGCGCTACTTGATTAACCAACAGGTTGAAGAGTTATCACAAAAATGGGATGAACGTATTGGGTCTTTTTGTGGGGCTTGGGCCGGCTGAGCCCGCGTTGCCCCCCCCCCTGAACGAATTCCCTCCTATTAGTGTTCTTAGTGTACGCTTTCGCAAGTAAGCGATTGGGCCTGCAGGAAACTTCGGGGATGCTCTCGGATCATTTTTTGTTTTCTTCACGCTCGCTGCAATCTTCCTTGTGGGGTACAGAGCGGATTAGCGGGGTAAGTTTCATGTGTTTTTTGGCACAAAAGATTTGATTTGCCCGCGGTCGCGTCGGGAAGTGAGACGTTAACAAGCGGCGTAATAACGATTTCATCATGGCATGCGTAGTTGAGGTGCACGGCCAATGTTGTCAACGGTGTGTTTCGATAGCCCCGCACCAGATCTGTTTTTGTTCGTTTTGGTACATGTATCCTCCGGGTGTTGTGTTTGTGTGTTTTAATAGCACTTTTCATGCCCGTGGTACTTGTATAGCATTAATTCTATCAAGGAAGGGCGAGAAGAGGTACAAGGGGCGATCGATGATCACAAACACGTGTAGGCGGCTTGCTTGGTTGTGTACTTTGTTCGGCCAAACACATTCTCAGAGAAATCCTGTTGATCTTGTCTTGGCTCTCTCTCTTGAGAGGGAGAGAGAAGAACAAGACAGCGGTGGAGGTACTCTGTTGCACTATCCTCCGTGGGTGCTTGAAGCTCTGTCTGTGGGCCACTCACTGCTGTGCTGACGAAACCATCGGTTGGGATCTAGACAGACAGACAGATATTATTGTCGTGCCGTTGCCGACAACCCTACAGTACCCTTCCAAGAACGTTTCGTCCTCATGGTACAAGTATGCGCGAGCGGGCGTGCCTGGGCAAAATGTGCGCCTTTTTTTCGCTTCTTGATTTGCGCGCCATCAGGCAGGGTGCTGTACCATACCCACCCCCATGTGGAGTTGTTCAATCAACTGGGGGGGGGGTGAGGTTTTCCTGCTGATTGTTGTCTTTCGTGCTGCACAGCTGGCGAGGAAAGATGACTGACGATGTGCACGTGACATGGAAGCTTCCGGGCTTGCTTATATCGTGCACAGAGCAGAGTGTACGCCCCGCGACGCCGCGTGTTTGTCCACCTCCCATGAAGTACTTCAAAAACAACGGTCAACCAGATGGCGTTCTACGGTCTTTTGTGGATGTGTCCGGACCGGTGTGTACCTGTGATCTTGGCCACTTGTCAAAAATCAACACTCGGTGTTTCCCCAGTTGCAAATTGGGGCCTCACTGGCGGGTACACGTCAATTTTTTTTTCTTGTCTCGCAGCGGCACCACCACCAGCGCAGTATAGCTAGGAACTAAACAATCCAAGTCATTGTTCCAAGAAGAAATCAGGCGAATGTTAATGTTTTGTTCTCAGAGACGATATGAGTCAGCCACACCCTTTCACCAACAACGAGCAAAAATCACCCGCGTCGAAACCGTGGCCGAAAAACCGAAGCCCTTCCGTCCCCGTACCGTAAACGCAGACAACAGGAGTGTTTCATCACCAACGCCCCCCCCCACACGCCCCCGAAAAAACACGAAGACAAGAAGCAGACGAACCAACAGGGTATGACATCGACATCAAACGTTTTTTGCCTAACTACAGCAGAACCAGTGACGTAACAACGGGCCCGCCACTGAACTGCTGTACTGCACAATTCCCTGAAACTGAGCCAAAAGAAGGCAGGGGAAGCACGACCGATGGACCGAAGGACAGATCACAAGATACTTGCTGTAGCCACCCAACAACCACGCGCTACTATAATAACCGTCCCAACCAACGGCGCACGGCACAGGTTCAGACAAAAACGTTTTTTTTTTCGACCCCGCACTCCCTCCCCAACTATAATAGGACACCTTCGCCTTTGTAATAGGACACCTTCGCCTTTGCCATCAAGTCACCTCTCGGGTCACGCCCAACAACCCCGTTGTTTCCTCAAAACATACATTCCGTACTGAGCTGGGGCGCAACCCAGGGCTGGAGATCTCGCGTCCTCGCTCCCCGACCCCTTCCCTTGGACATAGCATGCGCCTCCAGCTACGGCCGTACCGGGCATCGTCATCCTGTTGTTCTCTTGAAGAAGCGGAGAGCCAAAACCGGACTTGCACATCGTCAGAGTCTTTTTCTCCGTCACGCCGGTACCATACAACCTCAACTACAACAACTCGGTGTTTACAGCACTAACAGTAGCTCTTTCGGAGCCATCCCTCCACTAACCCTCTCCCTCCTTTACATTCCCAGTTTGCAGCTGTATCAGCGCACCTGCCTCCTATAATCGAAAACGCGACCAAAAACACTAACAACCCACCAGACAAACTCTTGACAGTTCGCCGAGCTCCTTCAATGTTTCAAGGGGTCAAACACATGGATCTCGCGCATGTAACATTGCACCTACGATGCCGATGACGGATGTGGATTCCTTTTCCACAGAGTGTACCGGTTCCAGCAGGAACCTAGCACGCACAGGCCACGGGTCCCTCCCCCCCTCCGCCAGCGGAGGGAGAAGGATTTTTTTCAATGGTGCTTGGTGCGGTTAAACTGCTGCAGAAGAATCCCAAACCAAGTGCAGGCAGGACCTACCATAGTACACAAGACCCGCCGGGACCGGACACAGCCTCAAACGCGTGTCCAGCACTAGTCGTCTAGGGAGCTGCACGGACAGCCGCTCTTGAACCGCCCGCCCCAACCCTCACGCCGCCGGAAAGCGGGTCAGCTCCGCCAATGCCACCAATCGCTCCTCGAGGTCTCGAGACAACTCGAGCTGCTCGACGGCCTCTCGTTTCTCTACCACACGGGTACCCCGGCCAATGCCATCAATCGCTCCTCGAGGTCTCGAGATAACTCGAGTTGATCGACGGTCTCTCGTTTCTCTACGGCTAGCGTCTGCTCTACGACAACAGGGGAGTGGCGTGACGGGTCACGGTCATATCGCCGTCTTCGATTTCTTACGCCGCGAGCTCGTCTGAAGAAACAAAGAGGATTTCCCGTGATTTTTGCAAAACGATACAAACATGTTTCGCCGCGGCCGAGAGGGTAGCGGGGGAGGGGGGGGGGGGAGGGTAGCGCAGGAGTAAGAGAAAAAAAAAAAGCAATTATTCAGTCGTGGTTGTTCGAGATGCCATTCAAATGCGACCATCCAAGCAAAAAATAGCACAAACACACACACAAGAAAAGAAGAAAACAAGGGAGGCAAGCCAGCGGGCAACGTGACAGCCCTCGTCTACTGTGCAGCCCACAGCGGTTCCTAACACGAACCACCACACGCAGAACGTCAGCAGAACATCGGTGCCTACTAAATAGGCCCCTCCGACAGCGTTCTCTTGACAAATCAAACAACACGCCCCATGCGCCACGCGCTCTACGCACTACTGCTGACTCCCCGACTCACGCGCGTCGCGGTCTTGCCCCCCTGTCCCTGAGACGCAGGCGACGCTGCTGCTGCTGCTGCTGCTGCGGTAGCAGTCGTTCTCTTCCCCTGTGCCGCGGAAGGTGCCACCCCTGGATCCTTCCCACCGGACGGCAACGGGCGCTGCTTCGACATCACACCCAAACCACACACACATGCGCGCACAAACGGTTAGCAGCGACATCCAAACCACACACACATGCGCGCACAAACGGTTAGCCGCGCGGTTGATGCTAGTTAACAAAACGCAGAGCCCGCAGCACACCCGCGAAGAGCGGACAGCACCAGCACACGGCAAACACCTGCCAGCGGTTTTTTAATCGTCCCGCTCTAGGAATGAATCCGATCCGAGAGGCATTGTTGTGTCATCGGTGACCCCCTGTGAGAGCGAGCCGTCTCGGCATGCCAAGAAGAGAGGAGGCCACTCGGCACGGGCCTCGAGCGGGCGTCCTTGTGTGTCGCAACAGGTACATGTAGGGTGGCGTGTCTCCAGTGCTGTCTGTTTCGCGACACGCGCGACAGCAACTGCAAGCCTCTGCGTCACAAGAAGAAGAAAAAGAAGAGGCAGGGTAGACAAAAAGCCCGACAGAGTCAGACGTCGTCTACACTTAGACCACGGTCTCTTGCACCCACGGCAGCGGCGACTTGCAGCAGCCCTCCCCCCCTTTGTGGTCGAGCGCACTATGCCGTCTCAAAACGAAACACGGGAAACAAACTGCTTAAACAGGTAGACGCAACGTTAAGTCGTCTATCGCTAGCCGCCGTCGCGCTCAAACAAAACACCAACAAAAGAAACTCAAACCCGTCGGACACGGCATACTACGCTACAAGTTGCCCTCCCCCTCCTCACCTTCGATGTTTGCCATCGGGGTTGGATTTTCGTCGCTTGGCAACGACGTTGTAAAACAAGCCGCCGCCCCCCCCCCGGTGTTTGCCATCGGGGTTGGGTTTTCGTCGCTTGGCAGCGATGTTGTAAAACAAACCGATCACTTCGTGAGCTCGGCAACCAGGTTACCGTTTTTATGTTTGCCTTTTTTTTTTTTTTTGCGGTACCCATGAATGGTGGTCGAGTAGATCATGTTGTGCGGGGTGGAGAACCCTCACTCCGCGCAAGGGGGATGATCGCACCACGTTGTGTTAAAATGGTCAAGCATCCTCGAGGCAGTTACACAGTGCTTCTAACTGTCTCTGGAAGTGAAAGCACCAGAAAATAAATTAAGTCATACGCAGCTGTCATCCGTACGCAAGGAAGTAAGCACAAGATGCCGAGCACCCTTAGCAGGATGCAGCGCACCCTTCATGCGACTCGCCGAATACCTCACGGCGCTTCGCGCTTGGTGATGTGAGAGCCTGGTCCGGTGAGAACCCGGCGTGCTCCTTCCCGGCTTTGTAGGGATACGAGGTCAATGGTCTGACGACTACGGCATGCACGACTATGAGTACACCCCCCCCTCACCTTTCTCGTCTTCGCGGCGCACCCTCTCGAGGACTCCTGAGCGCCGCCGCTGCTGCCTGCGCCGTCTTCCGACTGGCGCGCGGCGCTGCGTTCCTCGCCGCCTTCCGTTGCCGCTGCCGGCGGCGGAGGCGTCGCCGCTCTCACAGTAGCGCTATCCTCTTCCCCTGCTCTCGCCGTTGCCGCCGACGACGGCGGCGACGATGACTCCTTGGTCGACAGGCGGCGATGCCGTGATGCGAACGGGTTTCCCTTCGCGGCGGTGGCGAGGGCGGCGGCGATGGTCGCAGCCCGTTCCACATTGGCGGCTCTCTCTAGGTCGATGCCGGGAAGCCGGGAGGCTGACGTTGTTGCCGGTGCCACCTGCGGCGGCGGCGGCGGCGGCGGCGGCGGCGGCGGGGAACTTGTCGGCACGGGCGGGAGCATCGGGAGAGGGAAGTTCATCCGCGGCCCCACCCCGGGGAACGCCGTCGTCGCTGCCGCAGTGGCCCCCATCCCCCTCGCAGAGTCGTATGCTCCGCCGCCGCTCTCGTTGCCCAACGGGTTGAAGTTGGTGTACGAGAGAGGAATA